GAGAGAGAGAGAGAGAGAGAGAGAGAGAGAGAGAGAGAGAGAGAGAGAGAGAGAGAGAGAGAGAGAGAGAGAGAGAGAGAGAGAGAGAGAGAGAGAGAGAGAGAGAGAGAGAGAGAGAGAGAAAGAGAGAGAGAGAGAAAAAATGAAGAGAGAGAGAGATCATGAAGAAAGAGAGAGATAATGAAGAAGAGAGATCATGAAGAGAGAGAGATCATGAACAAAACGTCTTATATCTTCTCTTCCGAATTTTATAACAATAGAATTGTTTTTCTCGAATAAATAAAACTATTTTTGAAAGATAACAAGCAGTATTTTGTTTTTATTTTTCTGCTTAAGAAAAAAATTAGAACGGATTTTAAGAGTCAGCAAAAAAAAATCCGTTTTGCTCTAGACGAAAAATATTTCGCGGACGCAAGTTTGAGAAAGCTCAAAATTCATTTTGGAAAATGCGCCAGAAAATTGATTTCGAACTTTGGGCTATCTGTGCTGTGTCCACCACGGGTATCGAAACCTGTTTTTAAGCGTTATATGAGTCTTCAGACTTATCGATGTAAAAAGATAATTGATCCCTAATAATAAGTAAAAGTTAATAAAATGCAAAGTACACAAAGTATGTTTCTCCATTTAGAATGTTCACACAAAGCCACATAAGGGTTTTTTTGGCCCATAGTCGTCACTAATTTGGAACTGACAGGTTAGTAGAAAAGCAGCTAGTCAATAGCGCCCTCCGCCAACTCTTGGGCTACACTTTTCTGACCAGGATTTTGATGTCACTCCTATATTGTACCCGTGGCCTTCATTGTGTAACAAACAAACAAACAAACAAACTCACAGCTTTAAAGGGCGGAACGCGTTTTTGTGGCAACGAACCCTGAACCCTTAAGTTCATAGTCCGGGAACGCTTATCACTGGGTCACGCCCAGTTCTACTGAAAGTTAAAGAGCGTTTTAGTCATTCCACTTAATACAATTGTCACAAGAGAAAAAAAAGTCATTATTTGCCTCCATTATATCTAATTCATCAACAGCTCACAAGAACACAGAAAAAGGTTACTTTTAAAGCGTGGTGAAAATTGAAGGTTCCAGCGTTTCTGAAGGATGGGCCTCTTTTCAGAAGCAGTCACTAAAAGATATATTATTAAAAACCTTATTTCTTCATTACACTACTGTAACCCAAATATTTCAGTTAACGTCTTCAATTGTTATCTCGATTACGAAGCCACCCAATAACGGACAGCTTACATCCATATGTTTCCTTAATACTCTTAATGATACGCCCTGTAAACGAGGCTTTTCCTCGCTACTCACGTGGAAGAGGATAACATACCGCCTGATAATGATTCTCAAGGGTATATACCGTCTGGATTAGATGATGTTGATACATTTGTATAAACGCTCAGAAACACAGTATGTTAAATCACGCGTCGACTGTGGTGCATGTCATGGAATAACAAGTTTGAAAATTTGGGCACTTTGTTTTTATGGGTGTGTTTCTGTAAGAAGTAAACAAGAAAGACAGATTCTAAATCCGGTGACGTATGATGTTGAACATTATGTGTGGAATACAGTTGATGCAACGTCATGGTTCTTCAGAGAATCAATTTTTCACACTTCTGAGGATGTTAGCCCCCACACGCTCCCCTCCCACCGCTTTCCTACCCCTCTCTCTCTCTCTGTTGCACGAGGAATTGAGTGGGTCAACTGCTCCTGAACTCTTTGGGTTTGCTTACCTTTCTCGCCAGCAGAGGGAGTTCCATATTCAGTGTGTGGTATGCATTGTGCATACTCGATGACAACATATCTTGTTCCCTTATGGTGAGGGGGGGGGGGTTCCACAAGGTACAGTAACGTGGTTTTGTTGTGGAAGTATGAGAGATAGTATGTAACGCAAAAAAAAGTATCTAAATATATGCATGAGTTATATTTTTTTATAGAATTTTTGTGTCAAATAATTCTTTAATTATTTATCCTTTATTTGTGGTTGAAAAACTAGACTATTTTTTTCATGAAGTACTCCTGTTTTTATCATGAAGTACTCCTGTTTTTTTTTCATGAAGTACACCTGTTTTTATCATGAAGTACTCCTGTTTTTTTTCGTGAAGTACTCCTATTTTTTTCATGAAGTACTCCTGTTTTTTTCGTGAAGTACTCCTGTTTTTTTTCGTGAAGTACTCCTATTTTTTTCATGAAGTACTCCTGTTTTTTTCGTGAAGTACTCCTGTTTTTTTTCGTGAAGTACTCCTGTTT